AGGGTCAGAGGGAGAAGCAGACTCCCTGCCGAGCAGGGAGCCCGATGCGGGACTCGATCCAGGGACTCCAAGATCATGACCTGAGCTGAAGGCAGTTGCTTAACCAACTGAGCCACCCAGGCGCCCCAATAATAAATGAATCTTAAAAAAACTCTACGTGATACCCAGTGCTGCTGGTAAAAATGAAACAAACAAAAAGAAATCTGCATGGTAGTAATTGATCACAGTAGTACTGATAGTAATTACTGGACAAGTACCAATAATTTCTAAGCGATAGGAGCTTCAAGTCAGTTCTCATTCCTTCCACCCGGTGTGTGTGTGCGCGCATGTGCCTGTGTGTGAGCTTCTCTGCACACAGTTACAGATGCCTGGAATAGAGTTCAGTGCCTGCCCGAAGCTTCCGGTAATGAGAGCTGAAAGGTACACTGTTCTCTGTGGATTAATTAGTAATCAAAACACAGAGGAAAGATAAAGCAAGAAGTGCATGCCTTCCCTCTATAAGGGAAAATATTTGAAATGACTGTGTTGAGAGTAGGAAGCTGCTTAGCTCTTCCTCCTCATGCTTAAATTACCTGTGAGCTTCTGCCCCCATTCTTAATGCTTTTTTTTTCATCCTCAAAAGTATAATGTTGATTCAGCTAATTGCTGTGATTTAGATATTCAGATATTTTGTTAGTTAAATATCATTCGTTTTCATGCAGTGAACTCAGCTTTAGTTGGAAGTAGAAATTGGATGTGTAAGCTTTTACCTTTAGAAGACAGTTGTTCATGAGATCCTTGTGTGTTACATAAATTAATCTTTTTAAAGATTTTATTTATTTATTTGAGAGAGAGAGTGAACAAGGGGAGAGGCAGAGAGAGAATCTCAAGCAGGCTCTGAGCTGAATGCAGAGCCCGACATAGGGCTCAATCCCAGGACCCTGAGATCAGGACCTGAGCTGAAACCAAGAGTTGGACGATTAACCGAGACACTCAGGCGCCCTGTACATAAATTAATTTATTCAGCACAGTTTTTCTATGCTCCTACCATATCAGAGTTCTCCAGAGCAACAGAACCAACAGTGCATCTCTCTATCATCCATCATCTATCAATCTATCTATCTAATCTATCTATCGAAGGTTTATTCTAAGGAACTGGCTCACATGTGTGGCTGGAGACCCAGAGAAGAGCTGATGTTGTATCTTGAGTCCGAAGGCCATCTGGAGGCAGACCCCCCCCCCATCCCCCAGAGACCTCAGTCTTTTTCTCTGAAGGCCTTCAACTAATTAGATGAAGCCCACCCACGTGATGGAGGGTGATCTGCTTTAATCAGAGTCTACTGATGTAAATGTTAGTCTCACCTAAAAATGACTTCAGAGAAGTCTGAGTGTCCCCGATCTGTTCCTTCTGTGGATTCATAGTGGACACCAATAACTGCAGGTCTGGGGTTCGGGTTCCACCTCTCCCTCCCAGCAGGGGCAGGTGGTCCCAGAGTGGCCTGCAGGGCTGTCCTGGATGCCCTCAGCTCCTGTGCCCACTTAGGGGCCCCATGGCTCTGCCGATGCCAACATTCACTGCATTGCCCGTGACCCCTCTGTCCGTGGGGCGCAGAGCAAGGATGGGGAGGAAGGGCAGACGGCAGGCTGCCTTACTCTCCCCTCCTTCATCCTTGCGGTGTTGCCCCTCCTGCTCATGGGCCCCGCCCACAGGAGTGCCCTGCCCTCTGTCTGCACTCATCATCCCGCCCGCCCAGGGAGCCAGACTCAGCGACGTACCACACCTGTGGCCCGCGGTGGTTTCCCATCACACCTGGCTGTCCCGCCGAGATCCTGGCCTCCTCCCATCTCCTTGCACTTGGGACCTCTCACTTGGTCCCACTGTGGCTTCAAGCACAGGCTGTGGGTGCAGAGGGGTGGGCCGATGGAGGTGTGGGGGCTTCATGCAGGGAGGTCCCCGGATGAGGCTTGCCCTGCCTCTTTCTGCTCCTGCCAGATGGCTGTTGGTGCTGCTTCTGTGGTGGACCTTGTGTCTCAGCGTCGTTCAAGTGCTGAGGTCAGCAGATCTGAGCCAGCCTCGGTCACATGCCCCCCACACTAGTCTGCAATGCTGTGAGCGATTTGGGATTTTTCGGGAATGTGTATTGCCCGATATATCCAGAAATGCAGGTTACTCCCAGTTCCCTGGAGGAGAGAGAGCACAGGACACACAGACACAAGGGGATTGGGACACCTTGGAGGAGGCCCTGGTGCCACCGCTTTGGAGCAGAGGTGCAGCCTAGGGCAGAGGAACAGCAGGGCCTCATAGAAGGAACTCTTCCTTCTGGCGGGACCAGCGGACGGCATACTGGTGGGCTTAGGAGACTGATGTCTACAAGCTCATTGCAGGTGTTCCAAAGGGGGTGGAGGTTTCTCCCGTGCTGATGTCCTGGGGTGACGTCTCCCATGCAGATGCCTTGTGTTAGGTTCCCTTGTGCTGATGTCCTG